TGCTTAACTTTAACCTTTGATCCCGGCTCCGACACAAAGTCTAACTCCAGAGCCAGTGTGAAATATTGCATGATACGAAACTAGGCACATATGAACAAAATCTCTTGATAGTAAAATTAAATATCATTTCTGAACTTCGATTTGTCAAATTTCTGTCTAGACAGCACAGTCGCAAGTTTAATTTTTGCGTCTCGCCATTTTTAATTTAAGAAAGTTGGAAATACCGCATGTGAAAAAAATAAATATTGGCGCTTGGATAAGAAATATGATTCATGATAAAAACAAAATAGCTATGCTCAAATATAAGGACACGAAGTCTAAAAGAAAGAAGCACCAAAGCTTTTACAGTACAGGTAGTCTGATTACAAGATCGCTGGAATTCAGTCCCGGAACCATAGCTTGGTGAGCATTTTTTAATTTTGGTGACCTCATCGCACACAAAAGACAGACCAGTACAGTCAAGTTGCGTCTCGCCATTTTTTATTTAAGATAATCGGAAAATATCACTTGTAAATACCAGTAACCATGGACTCTGAGTGTTCGTCAAGACCGGTAATTTTATTCCGATTTTCCTTATTTTAGTTCTATTACGAGTTTGGAGACTGTCTGTGTTATCTAAGTAAATATTCCCTGCCCATAGGTTTCCGTACCGTTACACAACTTGATGTAAAGTAGGCGAACAAAATTAGTTACCACCATATAATTGGTAGGCTACATACAATTCTGGAGCGCCCTTTTTCTTGCCTTTTTGGTGTTGGTCGTGGCTTCAAAGAAAAGTAGTGATAAAGAGAAGGAAACGAGGGGAACAGTGATAACTATCGAGTTGAAAAAAATAAATTATTGCGAACTGCGGAAATGGTGTTCAAGTGTCTGATCTAGCCTTACAGTATGGCATAGCGAAGTTCACCATTTCCACTTTTTAAAAAAATAAGTAAACGAGAATATCGGTCGGAGACCGAAGACTTATCGATCGAAACTGTTGGTTCGATGCATGACTCTATAGTGACACCGCGTGTCCCAACACTAATTAATTATTAACTAATAACGCTAATTATACGACATAATTCAACCAAAATCAATAGGCTTCTGGTCCGAGATATGATGAATGTACATGCAAAATTTGGAGCAGATTCAACCACGCCTTCGTGAGATATCGCGTGCATCTAACAGACAGACAGTCAGACAAATACCTATCAACATACTTACCGATCTAAAGATCGATAAGTAATGATAGAGAGAGCGTATGTTGCGCAGGGAGTGACAGCAATTATTGTATAATTATTATTGTACGCGTTTTATTAATAGGCTACTTTGGGTATTTTGGAATGCGTAAGATCGTATTAAAACAACTACCATTGTTCCTTATGGCAAAAAAGTTTCGATGCTCGAGCAAATCGGTAGTCGAACACCAACCCCGAACGAATTCTGTTCGACTACCGAGGTATCACTTGTATTTTCATTGAAGTCAGAGACATACCTTCAAAACCTAGGCTCGAGTTGGGACTGTTTTGGGTGTTGGCTTTTGCAAACTGGTTTACATGTTCACAACCAATGCAGACTTGTTTACCGCACCGCCTGAAAATCCTAGTGAAACAAGTGCCCGTCGGCTGCTAAAATTTCAATCATTACGTTGCCATTGACAATTGCAAATGTTGTTACGGAAGTAAGCGCGGAAATATATGCTCGGCAAGTTATCTCTTAACCTTTTGAGTTATTGCTCGCGAGCTTCTTTCTGTGATTAAGCACGCAAAATCACCTCTACAAATGGAATTAGTAATGTATCAAGAGCGCCATCTAAAGCTTATTTAGAAATGGTAATATTGTCCGCTGTACGTCGCCAGAAACACAAATCACAAACTCGGTTGCCAGGTATATGCTGTAATACTTCGGATTGAATGCACTACTGGACTTGGAATATTACCCCTCGAGTATCACTGCATCAGTTCCACACCTTTATACACTTATTACTCAAATCTAGTCATTGTCGGCCGTTAATTTAACTGGTTGGCAGATGTAGAACCGTCCTTATTTTAGAAAGAAATATGACGATTTAGCTCATCGTTTTAAGCGCTTGGAATACGCTCGCCACCGCACTCTGCATGGGTTCGCAGGTTCGAATCCCATGCGGGGATAGTTATGTGCAAGAGGATTGTTGGACTCCTCGCCGCCGTTTGGTGATTCACGTAACTGCTGGTCGGTTACGGCTTCCTCCACCATCTAGTCCATGCTTCCGAAAACAAATAACTAGCTAATCCCATACGCGACATGAAATGGTAGCCGAACGAGAGGCCGTGGTTCGCCATATGGTTAAGCCGTCTTATCGACTTCCCTCTCCTCCGGGATAAATATGTAAACACCATCCTATGATTTTGTCCAAAAAAGTAAGGATTTCGAAGCCTCGTGAAGCTATATCCAACATTAGGATTTTACATGTTTCTCCCAGTCGAGAGGAAGGACGATAACACGATATAATCATATGGCAAACCACGGCCTCTTGCACCCTACAGGCGACGGCCTTCCCACAAACACTCTGTACAGTATAAACGAAAAAAGTGCAATAGCTGGTCAAAAAAGTGCTGATCCCATTACTACCGGCGCACCTTCTGCATCATTCTGACACCTTTACACAGTTATTAGTCAACTTTTATTCTTTGTTAAAAAACATCAGCTCCATATATAAATTATTTCAAGAAAAGAACAAACTTAAAAAAAAAAGAATGTGTATTTTTCAGTAAAATTTTTTTTATAGCAGCCCGAGTTTGACATTTTTCTCTATAAACTGAAGGATTTCGAAGCCTCGTTTTGCTATATCCAGCGTTGTTTAAAACAATAGTTTGTGCAGCTTTGAGAGCAAACTCTGTGACGATTCCCTGCCTACCGGCACTCCCTCCGAGTATCGCAGCACCAGTCTGGCACTTTTACACTGTTATTCATAAATTTTTAGTTATCGTTGCCTTTTAAATTAGCTTGGTAGACTGATGGCGGGCTTTCTATATTTTCAAACACATCAGCTGAAAATAAAAACTGTCCTTGCAGTATTCCACCGTGTTCATAGTTAACTAATAACGCTAATTATACGACATAATTCATCCAAAATCAATAGGCTTCTGGTCCGAGATATGATGAATGTACATGCAAAATTCGGAGCAGATTCAACCACGCCTTCGTGAGATATCGCGTGCATCTAACAAACAGACAGACAGACAGACAGACAAATACCCATCAACATACTTACCGATCTAAAGATCGATAAGTAATGATAGAGCGTATGTTGCGCAGGGAGTGACAGCAATTATTGTATAATTATTATTGTACGCGTTTTATTGATAGGCTACTTTGGGTATTTTGGAATGCGTAAGATCGTATTAAAACAACTACCATTGTTCCTTATGGCAAAAAAGTTTCGATGCTCGAGCAAATCGGTAGTCGAACACCAACCCCGAACGAATTATGTTCGACTACCGAGGTATCACTTGTATTTTCATTGAAGTCAGATACATACCTTCAAAACCTAGGCTCGGGTTGGGACTGTTTTGGGTGTTGGCTTTTGCAAACTGGTTTACATGTTCACAACCAATGCAGACTTGTTTACCGCACCGCCTGAAAATCCTAGTGAAACAAGTGCCCGTCGGCTGCTAAAATTTCAATCATTACGTTGCCATTGACAATTGCAAATGTTGTTACGGAAGTAAGCGCGGAAATATATGCTCGGCAAGTTATCTCTTAACCTTTTGAGTTATTGCTCGCGAGCTTCTGTGATTAAGCACGTAAAATCACCTCTAGGAATGGAATTAGTAATATATCAAGAGCGCCATCTAAAGCTTATTTAGAAATGCTAATATTGTCCGCTGCACGTCGCCAGAAACAAAAATCACAAACACAGTTGCCAGGTATATGCTGTAATACTTCGGATTGAATGCACTACTGGACTTGGATTATTACCCCTCAAGTATCACTGCATCAGTTCCACAACTTTATACACTTATTACTCAAATTTAGTCATCGTTGGACGTTAATTTAACTGGTTGGCAGATGTAGAACCGTCCTTATTTTAGAAAGAAATATGATGATTTGGCGCGGCGGTGTAGCTCATCGTTTTAAGCGCTTGGAATACGCTCGCCACCGCACTCTGATTACTCTGCGTGGGTTTGCAGGTTCGAATCCCATGCGGGGATGGTTATGTGCAAGAGGATTCCGGACTCCTCGCCGCCGTTGGGTGATTCACGTAACTGCTGGTCGGTTACGGCTTCCTCCACCATCAAGTCCATGCTTCCGAAAACAAATAACTAACTAATCCCATACCCGACATGGAATGGCAGCCGAACGAGACGCCATATGGTTAGGCCATCTTATCGACTCTTCTCTCCCCCGGGATGAATATGTAAATACCATCCTATGATTTTGTGCAAAAAAGAATTTCGAAGCCTCGTGATGCTATATCCAACATTAGGATTTTACACGTTTATCCCGGTGGAGAGGTAGGACGATAACACGACATAATCATATAGCGAACCACGGCTTCTCGTCCGATTGCACCCTACAGGCGACGGCCTCCCCACAAACACTCTGTACAGTATAAACGAAAAAAGTGCAATAGCTGGTCAAAAGTGCTGATACCATGACTACCGGCACTACTTCTGCATCATTTTGACACCTTTACACAGTTATTGGTCAACTTTTTTCATTGTTAAAAAACATCAGCTCCATATATAAATTATTTCAACAAAAGAACAAACTTAAAAAAGAAGAATGTGTATTTTCCAATAAAAAGTTCTTATAGCAGCCCGAAATTTGACATTTTCCTCTATAAACTGAAGGATTTCGAAGCCTCGTTTTGCTATATCCAGCGTTTTAAAACAATAGTTTGTGCAGCTTTGAGAGCAAATCCTGTGACGATTCCCTGCCTACCGGCACTCCCTCCGAGTATCGCAGCACCAGTCTGGCACTTTTACACTGTTATTCATAAATTTTTAGTTATCGTTGCCTTTTAAATTAGCTTGGTAGACTGATGGCGGACTGTCTATATTTTCAAACACATCCGCTGAAAATAAAAACTGTCCTTGCAGTATTCCACCGTGTTCATAGTGCACGTATTGTTCACCAGTATAGGGTCGAGTGTACATAACAGCAACAGTCGGCTGTAGTATGTCTTTCCCTTTGTAAACAGCTATCACATGCAGAACGCATATTACCAGTCCTACAATGCTTATTACACAAAGAAAAATACTCAATATGGCCGTCTGAATGACGGCTAACGGGTAGGCGTGAAGGATAGACAAAATAAACATTATAATCATTGCAAATGCTGCAATAATACCGCTTATAAGACATGCATAATGAAAATACTTTGATCGCCTTCTTGACTTTAGTATACAAATAATCCCACTGCATAACAGTACCAGTCCACACCAAATACCGGCACCAGTGTTCCCTTTGTTAGAGCAGTGTTCACATTCAGATCTATTATTTTCATTATCCAAGTCTGACAGTGATTCAATAGCAACTCCGATGCAAAAACTGGAAATTCCCAATATCGCCTCTGCAATCCCAAAAATTTTAAATCGGTTGTTGAGTCTCCTTCGCTTCAATCGAACTGGGTATGGCGCCAATGTATAGTCACGGTTCTGCCACGAAGACATGTCACAAGTAGGCGTCAGTTACATGCCACTTTTTGTCCTAATATGTCGCAACTTCCTATCAACTGAAGTACAGAAAAAAGTCCAAAAATGAAAAGTAAATGAACCTATTTTAGTTTTGAATTACATTCTAGATTATTATTGGCTAGGCTGCTTGTATATTTGATCATAGCCCACCCTTTAAATGAACCCTTGTGTCATTGGGAGCAGGGGGTCAAGGGTCGGCGCGGCCCCCCTTTTTGGATGTAAAAAAGACATTTTTCTGTATCCTAGATAGCAATTTTTCGTAGCTTGAAACGCTTTACAGACAGAGCAGGAATGGACAAGGTAAAATTTTGCCCACCTAGACTGGCGGGCCATGTAAGTGTGCCGTAAAAAGTAACATTTTAAGAACAATATTTACAGTGTTACTAAAGCCAAGGTGGAAACAATGTGCCTTGTTCCAAACTTAAATTTAATCGCAATCTCACCTAGACTGACGGGCCATGTAAGTGTGCCTTAAAAAGTAACATTTTAAGAACAATATTTACAGTATTTTAAAGCAATGGTGGAAACAATGTGCCTTGTTCCAAACTTAAATTTAATCGCTATCTCATCTAGACTGGCGGGCCATGTAAGTGTGCCGTAAAAAGTAACATTTTAAAAACAATATTTACAGTGTTACAAAAAGCTAAAGGGGAAAACAATATGCCTCGTTCCAAACTTAAATTTAATCGCAATCTCACCTAGACTGGCGGGCCATGTAAGTGTGCCGTAAAAAGTAACATTTTAAGAACAATATTCACATTGTTACAAAAAGCTAAAGTGGAAAACAATATGCCTCGTTCCAAAACTAAATTTAACCGCAATATCAACAAATTCCTTGAGCTATTTTTAGCTAGAACATCAAAATTCGGTTTGGTTGTGGCAGCATCAGGCGGGCCAGTTTGAATTACCCAACGATCCAACTTGGCAATTTGAAATTCCCTGGCTACGACTTATCTGACCTAACAGAATTTTATTCAGATTATCTACTACGTATCATTCTGCAATTTATTATATAGTTTTAGAAATTTGTGAGAATTTACTGTAATCAGTTATTTATTTTTTGACCATGCTGAAGGTGCGCACTCACAAATTATAAAAAAATATTTATGGAAAAAATAGCATTCCAGGGTGAATAGACACACGGGAAACAAAAAAATGGTTATCGAGCATTGGTGCCCAAAAAAAGTCTAACAGAACACGATGAAAAAATCGAACAATATATAAAATGTAATAAAAAACACTAAACACGACTAGGCGACGACTGTATTGTATTATATACAGCATTTGAGCAAACTTGTACGAAATCATCTTTTAGCTGCCAATTGTGATATCGTTCTGATTTACCATGAAACTTGTATCTCGTCTCTGTTATACTGTTTAATTATTATGTAGATACTGTTACATTTTGAGGCGAATAAACATACATATATACATACATATTTGGCAACGAGAGATCAGCAACCTGTTTTATCTTGAAATCTTTGACTTGTAATGTTAGCAGCATTGGCTGGTATGGTATCTGCGTTATAATTTTGCGATTCATTGCATCCTGTCACATCTCCGTTAGGACTTACTGGATTAAAAGCCTTGTAGTCTGTTCATACAGCAAAGTCAATGCAAGAAAATGTTAATGTTCCCACTTTTTTCAATTCTACTGTCTAATTGCTTATCCTGCGTTAATTTGAGATGCTTAGCTAGCACTGAAACGTTTAGTTGGGGTTGTTATTTTTAAAGATTTATTGCCAACTAAATCCTCCAATACGGCGAATGCCTATCCTGATCTGACAGTTTTTATAAAATAGCATGCTACATTGTATTATATTTCCGCCTTGCATTACACGTTTTCGCGTCTCAGTGAGAAACGTACTGCAGTAATTGATTTTTGATGTCATCAAATAGAGCATGGATTGCATAATAAGCATGTTTGTCACGGCAAATTGCCAAATATACGTTGCACGCACGTCCAGACACGAGGCGACAAAGTATATTAAAGTTATCAAACAGGATAGGAAAAGATTCTACATATTCATTCCGAGAGTAGGGAAGAAAGACGGCTTAATTATATGGGTCGGGTATGCAATTAGTTAGCTAATTATTTGTTTTCGGAAGCATGGACTTGAGAACAGAAAACAATACACCTAGGTATCCAATACCCAAGTGTCGTATCTACGTAAAATTGCGCCCATGGCAAAGTTTAAAAATGCGCCCACTTGATCGTTGACTGACAATTTTATTAAGACATTTTACGATTAAAACATTTTGCCCTTTTGCGCCCCTGTCCAAAAGGCGCTCATGGCACGAGCCATGTATGCCATACCATGGATACGCCACTGCCACAATCTCAATTTGCGATCGAACGAAAATATTGACACTTTGGTCTCCTCCTGCAAGTTGAAAAGAATTGTTCCCAGAAAACAAAATTTCACAACGAAATTTTTTTCTGATGAGCTTTGAGCATTAGTAGTTTTCATTGATACTCGATTGAAACACAAGGTTGCATGATATGTATATTTTTCACAACAAGTTGCCAAATAATCATTGAACGTACCGTGTTTCCCCAAAAATAGGACCTAGCCCGAATTTTGAAAATGATTTTGATATAATCCCTCCCATTAAAATAAGACCTAGTCGATAGCGAGAATTTTTTTTTCTCTTAGTCGACAGCAAAAAATCTCGAAATTCTCTACTTTGTAATTTTGTTTTTGATAAATGAAAATGAAATACGTCCGCCCAAAATAAGCCATAGTGTTATTTTTCAAAAGAAAATTGAAATTAGACCTTGTCTTATTTTTGGGGATAGCCTGCACGATATAAGCGCAGACATGATGCGAGAGCAGTGCGAACAGTTTTCTGGAATGAGGGAAGCTGTTATTGGACACGTTGGAAACGAAATTCCGTGCTTGTTAAAATCGCTTTTCTTTTTAAATACTGGACCAATTGCTTTCAAATTTTCAGTGGTTAGGGATTGTATTTTTCGCTAGAAGGCTTTTACTTTTATTTATTTAAAAAATTTCTTTGGCCTCTATGGGATTCGTTTCGTGTGCGATGACGTTATCAAAATTAAAAATTGCGCTCCTTGTGGCAGTTCCGCTTTCGCGTGAGTTAAAATCTGCTGCTCAGCTGCGATACGATACCGGTTAGCTTCTGTTAAAGATTGCATACCCCTACATCATCGTGTCTATATATTTCAGCATCGCTCTCTCATTATTGAGTTTGATACAAAAGAAAAACTGTCATTAAGACTTCGAATCTCATCGCTAGATAAATTACGAGACGCAATTCATGAGTTATCACAAGTCTATTGCCGGATTTACCACGAAGCAAAATATTCACGTGCGTAGGGCACCAGGAAAAAAGGGGCACAACAGGAATTTTCATTAGACGATTTTCAATAGTGCCTTAGGGTTGAAAAGACTATTCGAACCTCAATATTGGTTCGGCTGGAATAAAGTCCTTGTGTAGGCTATCATCTTAATCGTCTTTATCAATGTTTGTAAGTATGAGAAATGTTTCCAAAAAATCATGTAAATTAATCAAAACTTGGCCCTCAATTAGCAATGAATACTGAAACTTACATATTCAATTTCAGATAACACAATACACCAGTTTCATTATTATTATTTTGTCGCTCCAGAAGTGTGTGTACCAATATGGAGGTAACTAATTTTGTTCGCCTACTTTACATCAAGTTGTGTAAAGGGACTGAAACATATGAGCAGGGGGTATATTCACTTGGCTAACACATAGATTCTCCGAACTCGCAATAGAACTAAAATAAGGAAAATCGGAATAGAATTATGGGTGCTCTCGAAGTATGTGCATCAAGATAGCGCACAACCTAACCCTAACCTGCTACAACTACTATGTCCAGATTGTTCGCCATCTTGGTGCACATACTCCTGGAGGTCCAAATTATGGCCTAACTCTTACCTCTTTTTTTGTACATAGGGCACCAAAATCTCCAAGTGCCTAGCTTTTAAAAGGCATGATTCGGTCCTACTCGAGTCCAACTCGTATTGATGAGACCCGAATAAAATATCTTTGCTATACATCTTTTAGTCATCCGTGCTTTAGATCAGTGTTTTTCAAGCTATGGGTCGCGACCCAAAACTTAGTCGCCTAAAAAGGTTCATGCAGTGATCCCCCCCCCCCCCCTAAAATTTGAAACACACACCCTAATTTTCCGGTGTGACACTTACTTTAATGCTAAACCTAAATCAAATTGTATTTGAATATGCAGAAAGTGGCTCATATGCCGATGAAGGCGATCAGTCAAATACACAACACATTTATATAGGTTACAAATAGTTTTATCACTAATAACAAAAATCCCCCCCCCCCCCCTAAATTTGGAAACACTCCCCGGAAATGAAAAGCTTGGGAACATACGGAGTTCATGGGTCGCTTGATTTTTCAATAAAAATCTAAAAGTTACTAATTTTTTTTCTACTAAATTTTATTGTCCATTTGGTGCTTCCGTAGTATTCGTACCAAGATGGCGCACAACCTGAACATAGTATGTGTACCAGGTTAGGGTTAGCAGGTTGTGCGCCATCTTGGTACAAATACTACGGGAGCGCCGTTTATTTTATATTCGGTATTGTAGTGTCTCTCAATAGTAATTGTATATGTGAGTAGTACCACAGCATAAAAACTTGACAGCATTTATTTCGGTTCCATTACATTTGAACCCACGACATTTGCATCTGCATACTATTGCACCCATGGAATTTTTTGTTTCACTGGTATTTGAACCCATACTAACCCTAACCCATGGGTTTTAGCACCCGCATATAGATTGAACCCGCGGATATACACATGGGTTCAAATGTACGTGATTTCAAATGTACCGACATTTATTTCGCTTAAGTAAAGAAACGCCGCCATTCCATGCAAAACTAGATGACGGCAAATAAACATAGCGTTCTCACTTTGACGTAATTTTCGGGGAAATAAATGTTATGTAAAATGATTGTCTTATATCAGGGGTGGCCAACACCTCGATCGCGATTGACCGGTCGATCGCAACGTCTCGAGTAGTCGATGCTGAGTGAATTTAATAACATACCTCAAAATTTGCCTCAATCCAATTTCATGCAGTGTTTATTGTGTGTTTAAAACAGGACTGTTCATGTGCAATATACGATATACACATACAGTATTTGAGTATGAGAAAGACCGATAAAGCATAATATTACGTAAAAAATGAAAGTTTCGCCGCTGCCAAATCTTAAAATTTTTTGTAGGCGTGTGTTCAGGTATCTGCATATTCAGTACTCGTTCGTTATTGTGTATGATGTTATTACCGATCAGTCGATCGCGAGCTATTTTGAAAATTTTTGTCGATCACTGTCGAAAGAAGGTTGGCCACCCCTGTCTTATATTATTCATTTAATTTCGCGGCCATAAAGGTATTACATATAATTAAGTATTTGAACATGTCGCAAGTATTTACAAAATTTACTTTTTAGAAAATTAAAAAAAAAGGTTGGAAATCACTGCTTTAGATCGCGTTGTTGAAGGTTTATCAATAAATCAAAGTGCATGCCCAATCGTGATATATAACGTCGCCATGTCTTCGCGACAAACGGATCAATAATAAGGCAGCATTGTTGCTGCTATATTTTTTGTGATAGTATAGTTTTGACATGTTCAAAGTGGCGCCAACGGGTGTCTCATTGCTTTCCCTATCAAAGAAATATAGAGTGTCCATGAAGTTTCGATTTTTTTTAATTGAAAGGGAACTTAACGATACTGTATATTGTTTTGGCCCTCACAAATGTATTAAATGAAGTAAAATTACTGATTAAAAAACAACAAACCCGGTTAAGATATATCGAGAACTGACTTCACGACAAAATTGAAATGTAAAGGGACTTCATGGACACCCTGTATATTATTACTGTGATAGTACAGTTTTGAGATTTTCAAAGTGGGGTCAAAGGTTATCCCATTGCTTTCTCTATCGAAGAAGTAAATCCTCTTTCGGTGGGCGTTTCACATCTTATTTACGACCAAGACTCGGTATAAGCACCCAATGATTGCGTCCTTGGAGGTTAATCAATATATCAAAGCGCGTGCCCAATCGTGATATATAACGTCGCAAAAAGACTCTGAAAAAGTACCCACTGATAAGTAAAACCCTAATTTTTATGTAGAGATGTTTCTATACTCGGTGCTCCGGCAGTATTTGTACCCAGATGACGCACAACCTGAGCAAACCTAACCTGGTACACATACAATTTTCACGTTGTGCGCCATCTTGGTACGAATACTTCGGGAGCACATTCTATATTCTTGGTCCATAATCTGCGACAGCAGCATGAAGACGAACCACAAAATGTATGACACCCAGGGTGAGGTATTTGGCATCACGTGTCTATTCGGTGCTCCGGAGTATTCGTACCCAGATGACGCACAACCTGAGCAAACCTAACCTGGTACACATACAATTTTCAGGTTGTGCGCCATCTTGGTACGAATACTTCGGGAGCACCTTCTACCGTTGTCACAATCTGCGACAGCAGCATGGTTAAGTTGTACGCTCTGACCACTTCGCTATTGCGCACAAGATTCAT